AATAATTTTGAAGCAGGCTTATCAATAATATATGATATATTAATTTTTTCTACAGTTACTACAGTACAAGGAGATATTAAAACTACCAATCAACAGATAGCGGATCCAGTCAGTAAAGCTGTTCCTCTTAATAATTCCTCAAGTCCTGGCAAAACAGTTAATGCTTCTGTTACCATTACTAATAATGATAATAGCAGTTCCATTAACACTACCAATGCTAATGCTGTTCCTACTACTGTTACAATTACTACTGTTACTCCTTCCACTGAACATCCTATGGAACCCATTACTTCAACAGCAACAGTAACAACTACATCTGAAGTAACAACAGCACCTGAAAAATCTACAACTATACCTACTGTCACATCTACTGTTCCAAACAACAAATCTATTAATTCTGTAGCACCTGAAATATCAACAGTTCCAGTGTCAACAAAAGCAGTTCCATCATCATCACCTTCTAAGGAACGACAGTTTGATGGTCTCAGCTTCATAGGTAGGTATTTTTTCTTTACACACATTGGATTGTTTGCCAGGATAAATTTTTCTTTTAAGATTGTCAAATAGAAGTGTACACCTAAGTTCAATGTTGTCTCATGTTTGAAGAAAGCATTATCTACTTTTACCTTTTTCTAGGTGGTATCCTTTGTGTTACCTGTATAATGGCGATTGCTGCAATCTCTTGGAAATTTTTTAGATCAATCAATATTCAAAACTACCGCACGCTATGATGTTAAAGAAATTGTCATCGCGAAAATTCCGTTTTTCAATAAGTAAATGCAGTCGTTTGAACTGAAAACTATGAATTTTACCATAATAATATTGCGTATTTTTGTAACGCACTTAAGTGTCACGTGGTTTAAGTGCTCTTAGTAATGTGATGTGCAAACGCGAATTCCGTTTCTTTGTACCCAATTACGAGGACAAGTTACACGCATTATAGTATTGCCTCTCCATATGTTCGCACGCGCATTGTAATAGCGAATGCGTTTGCGTGAAAAAAAAAAAAGTAGTACATGTAAAAGGGGAGTGAAAGGGGGAAGTGTTAAG